TTCAAATATCCCAGTGATAATTTTTTCTTTTTATTAGTAACCTTCATCAGTAATCTCGAACAAACTACAAGACTTTTATTATTGTAAATAGTATTTTCATACTTGCGAGTAAGAGAGGGACTCCATTGACCCTCGTACGACTGTGGCGGATAATAGATTGATTGTGGCTGCGAATTTATAAAATAACTTCTCGGTTTTCTGCAAAATTAAATAAATTGACGGTTTGGGAGCGGTGGATTTGGATATTTCACTGGGATCTCGGTAATTGAGACTCTGGCTTTGTCTCTAATTTGGCATTTTCTGCTTGAGCAATGGCTTCAATCAACTCATAGTTCATCAATTGACGTTTTACTGTTTCTGGCTACGTTCAACTTATATCTCATTCGTGACTGTTTAATCTCAAAGGCTTAATTGGCATCGTCGATTGTCTTCATTAATAATTTCGTCCGACTTGCCATGGCTTCATTTGACGCGTTATTTTTGATGACGTTTGGCCTGTTGCTTTTTAATGCCTCGTTCGATTTGCTGTCGGGATATGTGCCTCTTCTTACGGTTGACCTTTAACAACTTCCTTCAGCCTGTCGTTGTGAGTATCATTAAATTCTTCAACTGCTTTGTGCCGGTCAACTGGTTCGTAAAACGGATAAGCATATGGAGCATGTTGTTTTTTCTTAAACTCTCTAATAATTGCGCGAAGAAATTTCATCTCCGCATCTCTCTTTTTTGATACGCTTCCCTTACGAACAGAGGACGTCTCGGGATAATCTTTAGGTGGAGGGGGTCGAATCTCTCTTTTGTGAAGATTAGATGTCGTAGTTCCCGAATCATGGTTTTGACTTGGCCATCGTCTGATAAAGCTCGAAAGCTTTCCGATCGTATTTTTTCTATGCCTTTCCCTCTATAATAAACATGCAAGAGTGAATTGTCCCATAAGATGGCCTTGTGCTGCAGCCTTTTGATAATACGGTACTTTGCAGCCGAGTGATAATTTCACGTAATGTTTTACTCTCTTTTCAAAGTTCTTTTCATCTTTCCCTCACGGTACTTGTTTGCGATCGGTCTCTCACCAATATTTAGCCTTGGATGGAGTTTACCACCCATTTGGAGCCAAACGCCCAACCGTTTGACAAATCTACACGTATAGTCTGTTTGCATGTCAGACACAAGGTGAGGAAGGATGTAAAAAAAAGGGCATTGGGTAAAACAAAAAAAAACAGTATGAGAAAAAGCGTAACGATAATGATCACAAAAGCGTAAATTCAAAATATTATTTTGTAACAAACCTGCAATGATACTCTGAGGGTTATAAAGCCAAATCTTTTGAAGCAAGCTTCGGCACTCGACTACTCATCTCCCACTTTCTGGAATAAATTCAGACCTGCAGAAGCAGTCACTGTACTCAATGTCATCTGAGACCTTGTCGGAAAGCCCAGCCGAAGTAAGGGCGATGAATTCCCAACGTCGCCACTCCAAAGATTCGTTGACCATGCATTCTCGATAGTCTAGAGACGACTGAGACTTGTGGGGATGAATGTTTGTGAAGTCGGATAGAGTGTTATCTGGTAATTAATTTATAGAAGAGCGAACTTGATGGCAGCATGGTGCTTGTACTTGTGGGCTGAGTGCGGAGATCGTCCCAAACTAAGATTGACCTTTGGTTCAGTTGCGCTAATGTTGGGCTTACCATAGCCTGGTCTAAAGAAAGAAAAATTCCGTGAGTCATTCGGGATGGGTAATATGGGCTGCACATACTAATACTATCTTACAACAGAATACATGTCCAACCAATTACCATCTATGAACGCATGCAAATCCGTGTTATTTCCTGCTTGGATAACGTCATTTACTTGGTTGTCAAAAGGTTTGAGATGTTCGGCTTGTCGAAACATTAGGCCATTAAAGCGGTTGCTTTATAGTTGCTTGCTATGTTATAGAACGAAAAACAAGATTGATGTGATTAGAATCCGCAATTTTATATTAGGATCCGCGGTCAGCTTCGCCTCAACTCTATATTGAAACCTTCTCTACTCCTTCATATCACCGCCTATCATTGCCCACAACATATTGACTAGTTCTATTCATTTCTTTCTTTCGTTCACCCTGTCTATATGCCTAATCGGGGGGTGTCTTTATTATTATTAATGAGCGCTTGTGTACGTACCGGCGTATTGACATGCCTTGAAACGGTCTATTCGTAAGCCAGAATGCAATTTTTTAGTGCGCGATTCTCTCAGAACCAAGTACGGCACGAATGCCGGCAATCGAAAGGGTGCAATGCACCCTTACAACACTCTTGAAGTAGGTAATAGTTAAACTAAGCACAGCACACATAAAAATACGATCAACAATCATGTGATATTTATGTGCTTGAAGATAATAGTGACCAAACTTTCTTAAGAAACCAGAGGCTTTGAATGCGAGCTATTATTCACTCGTTCTTACAAGAGACTCTATCAAACAGATAAAAACCTTTTAACGATTGATAAAGTTTCGTTCCTTATTGTAAGGTTCTTTTATGATACTAACACCAACAATCAATACGCGTTTGAAGATTAAGCAAATTCTTCGCATATATAAACTAGAAGTGTGTAGTGTGCCGACCGATTTCATCGGTCGGCCTTTGGAAATTCATTTCAAGAGAAAATGCAGGTATTGTATGTTCAATAAAGCTAAATTATGCTTTCTCATTAAGGGTTTTTGCCAAGTAATTCTAATCAGTGTGGGCTATTCTTTTTTTATGTGGATTAAAGTATAATATTAATTATTAATGCTATGCATGCTAATTATAATATATTTTTGCAAATTGTAATCAAAGTAAAATTTGAACTATTGTTGTAATAGGGAGCGTATGTTGTCTGATGCATAAGACATATAGCAGTTTAACAACAATGACTGTTGTAA